ACTAAAATAAACACCTCCTAAACCATTAAGGATATAAACTAAACTTTCTATCCTTAATTGATTGTTTTTGCATATTAAGAATTTATAAATGAAGTTTCTGTTTTTATTTTTGTGAAAATATTTTTTTAAATTAACATGTAAAAAAATATAAAAATATCAATTAAATTATTTAAATAATCTTAATAAATAATTCATTTAATTTGATTCATTTATAGTATAAGGTTAATCATTTGCCTAATATTCCTAAGCAAAACTCTTAAATCCATCTTAAAATAGAAGAACATGAATACATTCTCCTAAAAAAAAAGATAAATTACTCATTTAAATTATAAATCAAAATAAATTATTTATTGCATTTGACCCTTTGAGTCAACTGACAGCCTACCAGCTTGAGGTGCATTCTCCCTTGAGCGGGTTTCGAGTCCGTCCATTGACAACTTGTTCAAAATAAATAAATAAATAAATAAATTATTTATTATTTAATATATAATATTATTACACATTAATTTTTTATTAAAATATATTTAAATGACAAATATTTTTTTTGAATAGTTTACAATTTGAGGGAGGAGAAATTTTTTCAAAGTGTTGATAGGACAAACTCAAACACTTAAAGGATTGAGACAAATTACTTAAATCAAAAGGTTTACTTGTACAAATAAACTTTTAAAATGCAATAATATTACATATTAAATAATAAATAATTTATTTTAATGAATACCTTAACAAGATAATTTTTCTCTATTATTTTTCAAAGGTAGATTTGACCTATCCTCTATATTATTGGGTGGTGAATTTGGGGTTATAACACATTCCCTATACGCATTCCCATTTTTATCTTAAATTTCTTAGTTCATCCATCTGAAGCAACAGCGATTGGAGAGGTAAAATGTCTCCTCCACTCCTAATCATAGCCACGCTCCTAAACCTACTCTCCTTCATCCACTCCCGTCCTGCCACGTCACTCCAACTCCCCCTCTCCGTTACAGTCACAGACTTCGGCGCGCTCGCCGACGGCATCCACTACGACACAGCCGCCATCCAATCCGCCATCGATGCCTGTCATTGCTCCTCTACTACCAAACCATGCTACGTCACTTTCCCTCCCGGCAAATACCTCACCGCTACCGTCTTCCTCAAATCAGGTGTCGTTTTGAACGTCGAGGAAGGGGCGACCATCTTAGGTGGAACGAGGCTGGAGGATTACCCGAGGGAGTCGTTCAGGTGGTATGTGATTCTGGCGGAGGGAGCCAGTAACGTGGGGATTACGGGAGGGGGAGTGGTGGATGGGCAGGGGTTGAAATTCGTAGTGAGATTTGTGGAGAGTAAAAATGTGATGGTGAGCTGGAATCAGACCGGGGCTTGCGCCGGCGACGAGTGTCGGCCGAGGCTGATCGGATTTCTTGGCTGCAACAACGTGACGGTTTGGAATGTTAGGTTGAACCAACCGGCTTACTGGTGGTCAGTTCATTTCACCTCTTTTTCCTTTTAAGCTCCTTTCCAAATTCTCAGCTTTATATTAACTTCAATATATGGTAAATTGATAATCATATCTGTTCTTATCCCCTGAATTTCTGGATTATGTTGATTAATTGGGTGGATTTAAATTAAAGGAAAATTCTAGGATTTTTTTTTATCATAGATTGTTTAGGCCATAATTATTGGGGATTATTTATAGAAAGTTTAAATTTACAGAGCTTTTCTAGAGGTGTTTTTTTGGAGGGTTAGCTGCTTGGCATGACAAAGGTTTGAACCCCTGAACTGACCCCAAATCAAGATTTTTTAGTTAGTGGGTACCAAACCTGACCAAGCTCTTGTTGGTTTTTCTAAAGGTGTTATGTCATGAAATTATGTAACATAATCATGGGTAATTTCAGAGCTATTTATAGGAACTACAAATTTGCAACTTTAGCTTGTGATCTTTTTGAAAAGCCAAGGTGTTTTGACGAAATTTTTTTATGGCCAAGATTCAAATTTTGCCATGGAAGCTGGTTTGGAAGTTAGGTGTACCGGAATTGCTTAGATAGTGAGATCTGGCTCTGTTTGTATGGGTAGAGTGTTGAAGTTGAGCTTTGCTTTTGTATCTTAGCTTTATCCCCACGATTCTATTGCCAAATGGAGTCCACAGAAGGATAGTGACTTGTGGCTTTTGTATTCCTTTCCAACTTGCCTGAGGACATGGTGCTGAAGCTGCAAGTTTGTTTCTTATTCTTTCTTTCTTTTTATCTTTTTTTCTTTTGGTTCAATTTGCTACATGTTGCTTTTGAAGAGATTAAAAGTTGTAGCAATTATTTGGGGAAGCTGAAAACACTTAAAAGAGTCAATTTTTTAACTATGAAATCAGATTTTTCAATAGTTCTCTGTTGCATATACCATGCTTGACCATGTTTGTGTTGCCCATTGATGAAAGGATTCAGCTTTATGACTTGGAAAAATGGCTTGATGACTTGGAAAAATGGCTTGGGCAGAATCTTCAGTTCTGTAGTTTCAGGTCCTGTTCTCTTAGTTTTCCTATGTTTAATCATAGAGAAAAAGACTTAAAATGTGGAAAGATTTTCAAGCTAGAACTTGGGGAAAGGAAAGGAAGAGAATGTATAAGAGAGTGCTGGATGCTTGATACTTAAAGAGGGAAAAATGTTGGTGAAGGACTTTAGGAACACAAGTAGAAAGTTCTAGATCTGTTGGAATAAGACTCAAGCATTTGATTTTTTGAACTATCTGCTTATATGTTCATATTAACAATCTACCATCTATATCTGCTATTTTTGTTTAATTGTCTTTGTCAATCCCTTTCTGTTCTTTAAATTTATAGATATAGTTTTGGATGAATGCAGCTTGCACATAGTACAGTGTGAAAACACTTTGATTCAAGATGTTTCTATATATGGAGATTTTAATACACCTAACAATGATGGGATTGACATAGAGGATTCGAATAATACAGTCATTACAAGATGCCACATTGATACAGGAGATGATGCCATATGTCCAAAAACATACAATCGTCCAATGTATAATTTAACAGCAACAGACTGCTGGATTAAAACAAAATCTTCAGCAATTAAACTTGGAAGTGCTAGTTCATTCGAATTCAAAGGTTTTGTTTTTGACAATATCACTATAGTAGACTCTCACAGAGGGCTGGCCCTGCAGATACGTGATGGAGGTAACTTCTATCTTACTTTTCTGAAATTCACTAGTTCTAATGCAGTTCTCAATTAATGATGGAAGGTGAGATTAATGCTATATTGCAAAATCCTAACATTTGAAAAGTTAATGCATTTGTGAACTAAAGTTCATAACAATGAAACTCGTGACATTTTTAGCTATTCTGGTTATTTGTAAACTCTGAACTGCAATTGTTTTATCAAGTCTACTTCAAGCTTTATTATTATTATTATTATTATTTTTTGATACATCTGATGATGGCCTATACAAGAGGGGATAATTCTCCCTTTTTCCCAAATCTCTTTTCACCTGACTCAAGATTCAAATTTAAAATCTCTAACTTGGAATCTCAGGCTCTTAACCAGTTAAGCCACCCCCTCGGGGCAGTTCAAGCCTTAATGCAGGGGTATTGGAGATGATCTCTAATTTTTTTAGGACCTAAATTGAGGTTATCGTAAAAGATAACTTGGCATTCCTTGTTTTCCTTTCTATGTTTGATTATTGCTAGGGAATTTTGATTCACACATTAAGAGCATGTTTGGTTCAGCTTCCAAGTGCTTCAGCTTTTTGACATTATTTATATTTCATAAGTTTAAATTTTCCTCTTAAAAACTTACATTTTAAAACTTTTTTTAACCTTAAAAAGACCTCAAACAGTAAAAGTTCAAAAGCTTCAAATCCAAGCTTTTCATAAATTCTTTTTTTACTTACTTTTTTTTATATCTAAAAGCAACTTTTAAATTTTCCATCCAATAAAAATTTAAACTTATCACTCATGAACAGTACAAAAAAAGTAAAAGCTCTTACAAGCTATAACCCAAATATGCTCTAAATCTGGTTCAGCTGCTAAGTTTCCAAATCTTTTAATGACACAAAGGTGTTGTAAAGCATTCTTCTATCTGGAAATTACTGAATATTGTTGGTCATGTGCAGGAAATGCAAGTGACATTACTTTCTCAAACATAAACATCAGCACAAGGTACTATGACATTTCATGGTGGGGGAGGGCTGAACCTATTTATGTAACTACCTGCTCGCGACACTTCAATTCAAGACCTGGCACCATCTCAAATCTACTCTTCACAAACATCACTATAAACTCTGAAAACGGCATGTTCTTATCAGGTTCAAAAGGTGGACTACTCAGAAATTTGAGATTCATTAACATGAATGTGACTTACGAAAGATATACAAACTATGTTGGAGGATTGGTGGACTACAGACCAGGATGCTGGGGGCTTGTGAAGCACAGGTCTGCTGGAATCATCATGGAACATATTAAAGGTCTGGAGGTTGAAAATGTAAATATGAGATGGTCTGGTGAGAAAGCAGCGCAGTGGGATACTCCTTTTGACTTCAGGCCTTCAACTGTGAATGACATTTCCTTGCTCAATTTTCATTCGGGTCTATACAGACAGCAATGGCAAGATTCTGAGAAATCCTCTGGTTAACAATGCTGCTTCTTTACTCTAGTTGTATTCTTGATTTTTGCACGAAAAGTATGTCACCACATCAGGTTTGGCTTTTGCTTTGTAAATATAATAACATAAAGGATTCATAATTAAAGAAGGTGCGCCTTTGGCTGTGGAAAGCGGCATTTTTTTTTTTTTTGGAAAAAGATTCTCGTTCTCTATTCCCTAACATTTGGAGAATAGATTTGGTAATGCAAAAAGAAATGATTTTTCAATTATTTTTGAGTGACAGGAGAGAACAGGAGAACAACATTATTTAACAAAGGTTTCGGGACATGCAATTCTTTCGACCAAAGTAACATATAGGGGCATATGAACTCGTAGCATATGATATTGTAGCTTAATTGATAAAGTATGCATATGAACTCAAGTTAATTTATGTGCATCATTAGTCAAATTAAATACTTTATAAAAATTTAGTTGTTGATGTTATTAAAGAATTAAATCTCGATTAATAAAATATAGAGTGAATTCCCTTATCAAATAAATTACCATTTATTGGAGCAATTCCACTGTAACAAATAGCCAAATTGGAGGGGGTCCTATATCATTATCATCAACCAGGATTGTTTTACATCGTCCCTCTAAAATGGAAACACTGAGACAAAATTATTATTTTGAGGACTTAATTAAATAAAAGTGGAAGGTTGTGGTTTTTGTTAACATTCACAATAGTTTATCCATTTGCTTTCCGAGGACTTAAAAGCATAAAAGAGAAAAATGCTGTACGGCGTCGTAATGGACACTCCCACACAACAAAACTCCACTCACTTCCATCTCGTCTCTTTCCCCTCCCCCAAACCCCCGAGCAAAGCGCCATCATGGCCTTGACCAGCATGCTGCGCCACCGTCTCTTCTCCCGGGCCGCCTCGAGCCACGCAGGACCGAGCCGCTGGACCTCGTCGGGGCATCAGGAGCGGCCTAATGGCTACCTCTTCAACCGGACTCCACCGCCCCCGGGTCAATCCCGCAAGTGGGAGGATTGGGAGTTGCCTTGCTACATCACCAGCTTCCTAACGATCGTCATTCTGGGAGTAGGTCTCAATGCGAAGCCCGATCTCACCATCGAGACCTGGGCCCACCAGAAGGCGCTGGAAAAACTCTCCGCCGAATCGTCGTCGTCTTCGGATTGATGTGGTGGCTTTGCCTTCTTGGATTATATGAGTACGGATCCATGGGACTTTCTGTTTTTATATTGTTGATAATGTGTAGTTGGAATAAGGGTTTTCTTGAATATTGTTGGATTTGGTGTTTTGAAGGGTTACTGCCTAATTTTACTTCGTTTCAAATGTTTTAATTGGGTTTATCCTTAATCCTTCTAATATAGACGAATTGTTCGTTAATCTGAGGTCTAATTGAGTTTTTATTTTTGCTTATGAATGGATTTTGGAGTTAAAAATTGATGATTAATTTGTTCTAATTGGCATTATATTATTGTCATGCCTGTAATGATTGAATTATTGATTAGGGAACTGAATGACTGAGACTTCCTGAGAACTTTTTCTGTTAGTTCCTTTGGAAAGTTTGAGGAAGAGGAAGAGGAAGAATTTAATTGTCTACTATGATCTGGTAAAGTCTGTTGGATCTATTTAGTTTGGCTTAATCGGCACATAATTTAAGAACCTTTTATTTGGAAAGGCATGATCAATAATAATGTGCTAGATGATTCCATGGCATTACGTGTTGGAGTGAGATGATAGTGAAGTTGCAATGAGTTTTAATCACAGGCACTACTCATTGAGTATTTCATAATTCAGATGGTAGTCTTTAAAGATACCCCAACCAGCTTCAAACCCGTTTCTTTTGGACTGATGGTGGTTCGGCAAAAAAATAGAACGACAATTTTGTTATATGTTATTATTTGGATGGTTATAAAGAACTTTTTGTTAGTGATGAAACAAGAGTGTTGTGCTATGTGTTGGATTATATTGTTCAACAGAGCATGTTTAAGGACTTGGGAGTAGGGACTATGAGTGCATTGTATAGTAGAGAAATGTAAATGTGATTGATTTTACAGTTTTTCATGCTCGGTCCTTCCTCATGTCTTTGTTTCTGCCTCCCCATTCTTATGATCTTAGGACCTGCTTTTAGCTTGGGAATATTCCAGCATGCTTTAAGTAAAGCTTTCCTATCTAGTCGTTTGCAATCTCAATGGTGTAAAATTGGCTTTCATTTCTATTGTAAGGAAATCAATATTTGTTAATGAACTTGGGAATATTCCAGCATGCTTTAAGTAAAGCTTTCCTATCTAGTTGTTTGCAATCTCAATGGTATAAAATTGGCTTTTATTTCTATTGCTCTCCACCTCATTTCTTTCCTTCTCCTTCCTCCACCAGCAACTGTTCTTTCATGGATAGAATCTTTCATGTAATATAATGTTCCTTATAAATCATCTTATTTTGATATATTAGCTTTGTTCTTTCACCTTAGCTGTTTGATTAAGATATTGAGGTATGTTTGGATTATGTTGTATTTGGCGTGAAATATATCCGTGGTTGCATCTAGGACTTCCGGGTACTGCAATCCAGCCATGATATGGTGATTGCAGCACAATTAGATCAACAAGCATAATGTATGGCATCTTGTTAATTGTCTATGGAATTTTTTGGCCCTAAAAGACAATAGTAGCCATAAGTTCATAACTGTAAGAGGTAGCTGCAGTTTTAGTTTTGTGAAAGTGAAACAGATTTAACCCCTAGAAGTTAGAGGAATCTGATATGAATTGAATTGTATCCTAACTCTAAGCTCTCAAAAGTTTTTGAGGGACTAAAGTTTTGTGAACCATTACCCTACAAGTCATGGTTCGATTTAAAGTCATTTGTATTCATCCACATTTCTGGGCATCTACCCATCTCGTCTATGATTGTGCTAAATTGGCACTGGGCCAAATCACTTTCTTGGACATGTAGGCTTAGATTTGAACAATTTTTAGGTTTAACAAGCTCATATCATGGCTCGAGTTAGTTTGGTTCGAGTTAGATTGAAATTTCGAAATCCAGCTCAAATTGGGCTTAAGAAACTTGAGCTTCAATTATTCGGTTACTTCTGTTTTGAAAATTGTTATAGTTAAAATGTGATATGATATTGTAAATTTATAATATATTATGTTATTGTATAATTGAGTTTTTTTTTATTTAAAGATTCACTTAAAATATTATATGTATCCATTCGTTTAATATCAAGTTATACTCATTTAATGTAATATTATAAGAAATTAATATGTATCAATCAAACTTGCAAAAAATTAAAAAAAAAAAATTTAAAACAGTATCGTTTTAATAAAACACTACGAGAAAAAGACCAAAACATCCTCCTCCCTACTTTAAAAATAATTAAAATATTTTAATCTTTTTTAATAATCTTTTATTGAAACGATATAGTATTGAAATATTTTTTATTTAATTTTTTACAATACAAATTCATACTTCTCTAATATTATAATTATCACATTGTTATATGGCTTATATCTTTGTTGTTTTTCTTTTAGTCAAGAAAAAGATATCTGTTGATATGTCCAGGTGGTTAAGGAGACAAACTTAAAATCTATTGGGCTTTGCCCGCGCAGGTTTGAAGCCTGCTGTCTACCTCGTATGGTACTTACTTTTCTTGTTTTCTATTTTTTTTTAAAAATTACTTTTGAAAGCACTTATCTATATTTTAATTTTTAATTTTATAAATTTTTATTATTTTAAAACTATATAAAATAATAATTAAAATAAATATTAAATATATTTTATATATTTTTAAAATATTAAATAATAATAATAATAATAATAAAACCAAACTAAGCTTAAGGAGCGGGTCTCCGATGCAAGCTGGAATTCATTCCCCTAATAATGAAAAGATGCTTTTTATTTGATAAGATTCATTCCCTAACATGTAGGGCAATTTTAGCCACCTTTTAGAAAAAGATGCTGTGTAGGATCCAAGAAATTCTTTAATCCTCTTATATATGAAAGAATTTACTTTTTATTTAATGAAATGAAAATAATATTATTGTGGCAAAATTTTTTATTTTTGTTATTATTATTATTTTATTTTTAATAAAAAAAGTTCATACATTATATAATAAAAATAATTTTTTTAAAAACTTTTTAAAACTGTCTTATAATTTAAATTTAAGATTTTTAATTTAAAAATATATACAAATTTAATATAAATGTAAAGTAACATCATTGTTAAGTTTTGAACCTTTCAATCCTGTCAAAAATAAGTCATTAATAACAACAACCTAAGTCACTTCCTCAACGAATTGATGAAATGCCGTAAAACAAAAGAGAGAAAAAAAAAAAGGGTCGATCAATCATGTGATTTTCTCATTAAATCTCTAAAAGAAAAATAATAATAAATGATATCAAAATTTTAGAAATAAAATTTGAAATTAATAATATGGTATAAATTAAGTTACTTAAAATATTAAAAAATAAATTTTATTTATTTTTTGTTTATTAAAAATTAATTATTTAGTATTACAAAAGTTTAAAATTTAAATCCATTCCTTAATCTTAAATTAAGATTTTTAAATTAAAAAATACTAATTTTGCTAAATTTATGTTAGTAAATAAAAAATAAATTTTATATTATTTAATAAAAAAATTTATATTATTTAATAATTAATTCTTTTTATTTTTTTTTCAAAACTTATAATATTAAATTATATAACAACTTATTTAATAACATAATTTATATTATATTATCAATCTCAAATTTTGTCTAAAATTTTCCTCATCTGTATCATATTTCAAATTACCACCCTAGGTCATCACATCATGCAATTGGTTATGTTATGTGATGAATCCAAAGGCACATAAAAATAAAATAGAATAAGGTGATAATAATGTACAGTGGACAATGGATAACAGCACGGATGCTCGTGACATGTTCCCCCAATAACTCCATCTTATTTCTGGACAAAGTTGTCGTGTCGGTAGTAGCAGTAATCAATAGGGTCTAGAGGTACCGACAAAGTTCTTTACATGCGATCCCATCTAAAAGCTCCTAGTATTGAATTGGGCAATTATCTAGAGACATTTTTTTTATATATTATTAAATTAATATATATTTAATATTATGATTCAGCACTTAGTGGCTCAATGACCATCTCTATCAGGACATACTTAAGATTAAAGAGTTTGGAGTCAAATTTCAAGCTCCTTTCCTCCTTTCTCGAAAAAAAAAATCACACTGTTTAAAAGATATATATTTAATAATATGAATTTTAATCAATAACGTAAATAATTTTGATATATTTTTATTAAATATAATAGATTTTGAGTTAATTATCTTTTATTGTATAATTAAATTAAAAAATATTATAAATTTTAAATAAATAAAAAATTAATTATTTAAATAATATATAAAATTATATAAAAATTATCTTGAAATTATTTTTTATAATATTATATTAAAAATTAAATTTATGATTATATAAATTAATAATTAAAGAAGACTCAGTCTTTTAAACCTAATAATTTATTCTCAAATCAATCTTAATATTTAAGTTCAATTAATCAAAAATTTAATTTTCACTGACTACTTAAAAATTTTTCCAATTCTTCATGTTCAAAAAAAAAAAAAAATAGTAATCAAAGAAAATAATAGAAAAGAGAGAAAAACTTTTCTGGTTAAATCCAAGGCCTCCCTTTCCTTTGTTCAAATTAGTGTCCTCCTTTTTCGCTAAACAATAATTTATTCGTCCTACAATATTTTATTGTTTAAACGGAGCTACAAAGTGGATCTAGCGTATGCATATAGCAGAAAAACTGTCCAACTAGCTAGAGAAAATTTAAAGGTGTATTATTTTGCCGATGGTTTTTTAAATTAATATTAGAGATTTATTTTTTATTTAAAAATTTATTTTTTTTGTAATTTTATATAGTTTAAATTAAAAAATAATTTTTAAAATTTAAATTAATAACACTTCTTAGTGGCGTTACTAAAAATAGCTAGTAGTTATTATATATATATATATTTTTAAACAAATTCTTTGATTCGAATTGTTGCTTTGAAAGTGAATGAATATATTTATATATTATCTGATGTCACTTAACTAAAAAATGAAAGTGTTTTTTCTATATAAACAATCATGAAAGATGAAATTGCATGGTAGCTATTCCTTTTGAAAATAAAATAAAGTAAAGTAAGGCATTCAATGTATTGTGAGTAGGGCTGGGTCATTTTTAACCGAACCGATTGTTTACTCGAAAACTGAATCGAAAAAATGATTTTGGTTTGGTTTCAATGGTTTTTGGTTTTAATTTTTTAGTTTT